GCTGCGTGAACCGAGATGGAAGTCGTCCTGTGAGGAACTGAAAAGATCAAGGGTCAAGGGAGTTTTGTTTGTCATAAAGAGAGTGCTGACTGTGGATGCAGAGCTGGAAGGTGGGGAAGTGGAAGTAAGAGGAACGTGGACAGGCAGGAAAGCAGAGGAGGCAGCACCCCAGTGAGGGTGAAGGAGGGCCAGGGAGGCTGGTGGAGAAGCAGCTGGATGGCTAGAGTTGGGCACTTAAAGGAGACAGGCTGGACCTGGGGTGGAGACACGCCCGAGTATGATCCAGGGGGTAGGGTGAATAGGGGGTGGCTGGCTCTGGCTGATGGAGAAGAAGACCCTAAAATGACCATACTGGGTGGTGGAGGGAGAATGAACTTTGACGTCTTGATGGTAGGTGGTGAGACAATACAGAGCTGGTGGTCCAGGTTCTCCTGACTGAGGCAGATGAGCAGGGAGGCCAGGGTGGCAGGCACTGCTAGGAATATATCTGGGTTTTCCAGGTGCTCCCAAGAGAGGAGGAGCAATGATCTGAAGGTGGAAAGTGAGCACAAGGAGGTCAACCCAGGCTCCTGATCAAACTAGGGCTGTGAGGCGGCAAAGTGTCAACTCCAGACATGGTGGCCCAGGAAGCAGGGACCAAGGGTGAAGTGAGGGGACACTCAGAGAAGAGAGGGAGAAGAGTCTTCTGGGTGTAGCGGGAAGAGAGGCCCCAGGACAAAGGAGCACAGAGGCACAGTGATGAGGATGGACTGGCTCTATGGTGACACTGAAGGGATGGCTGGGTCTTTGTCCTGAGGGCTCAGTTTGGGGGGGCTACTGGCCTCATGAGGACTCCCCTCTCAGCAGCCTGGGAAGACCCTCCCGCTCCTGAGAGCTGTGTGGCCACCACTGTTCCTTGAGAGGCTCTGCCTCCATCTTCTATCAGACTTTTCTGCCCAGCCCCCGACCACCAGCGAGGGAGCCTGGGCCTCGCAGCTGCTTCCCGTAGACGGACACAGGCTCCTCGGTGTAGCAGGTGGATCTTACTTGTCTCCGTAACCCAGGGCCTAGCAAAGCACCAGCCTATGTTTGGGCAATTCAGAGGCTCGGATACTTACTAAATTAACTCAAAGCAATAGAATAACAGAGCTGGAGGAAGTGACCACTGAGCACACAGAGTTCACTTCCCACACCCCCATTCTGCAGATGAGGAAACAGAGACCAAGTGGTGAAGCAGCCTTGGCCAAGGTCACGCTGCTCATAAATGTTGTTCTGTGTCAGGCATGCCAAAGTGATGAGCTGCAGTGAAGGGCCTGAGAGGGGGCTCTGGGGCCAGACAGCTTGGGTTCAAGTCCCAGCTCTGCCATTTACTAGCTGTGTGATTGATGACTGTCCTTCATGTAAAATGCTACCTCATTGGGTTGTCGTGAACACAGAGTCCCTGGAACAGCAGGACAGAGTTCTGTAAGGGTTTGCTGTTGCTTTGGTTACTATTATTATCACCAAGTGAACCCTGAAATGAAGAACAAAGACAGCAAGAATTTTTATTTTAAAAGATTTTAAAATCCGATGATGAATGTTTGATTTAATCTATTCAAGTTTGCATTTGACCCTTATTAGCAACTACACAATCAACGACTTTCAAGGAAATGTTGCTTCACGTCTTTAATTCTCACTAACGACACAGGCTATTCAACAGTAAACAGTTTCTTTTCCAGGAAGAGGAACAAAAAGTTAACAATATCTCGGTACCTCTCGGTCCCCAGTGAGTTGGTTGTGACCTGTCAACCCAACTTTGGGGAAGTGCTCGCTCCTCCTGGGCTCGCTGCACTGCCCCTCGGCATCCAGGGGATGCTGTACCCCAACACGAATCCAGTCTCTTGGTTCATATCTTTGCTTCAGATCCCTCAAGGCCTGCCCATGTCCCAGGGCTCCATCTGCCCTGCCAGCCTCGCCTGCTGGACTCCAGGACACCATCCTGGGTCTCAACCATCCTCTGTTCCTACGCCCGCCTCACTACTCTTCACTTTGTCCTTCAAGTGTGGGCTCCTGTGGCTCACCACCCAGCAGGGGTCTCCCCGTCCTCCACCTCTGGTAACTGCATCATCCTGCACGGTGCCTAGCGAACCCGTGTGGAGGCAGGAAGAATAAAGAACAACAGGTGCTCAGAGGGGCTGCCTTTCCCACTGCAGGGGCCCTGGAGAGCTTTCTCCCGGCTAGTTATTCACAGGCACTGTAGCTGTGGAATCTCGATCTTACCAATTTAAAGGGCATCATCAATAATTACAAAAGCAATCATTTTTTTCAGTAGCAAACGGAGAAAAGTCTTTGTGCCCCGCAAATCCAACTTTTTTCCTCCGCCTTCAGAGGTGATTCTCTCTCTCTGGGCAAGGGTAGAAAGCAACACACAGAATATTATT